TCTTTAGTTGGGAGTAGGGTATTCACTAATTCCCTTCAATAAAAAACTAAAACAAAAACAAAGTAACTAAACCCCTGGTGAATTTACACCAGGACCAACTAACAAATTCTGATAACCAATATCTATAAGGTGCTTACAAAGTGACTGAGCCCTTCAACCTTTTTCAGGTTTTCTCACATTACAATCATAGCCTTCAGAATATTTAACTGTGATTTTAGGCAATACTGGATTTGTGATTCTGATGTTTTATTTTTATTTTGCACTTTGTTAAGCCCCCCCTGAACCCTGATACCCCTAAAAAAAGAGCAGTGAAACTAATTAGAAAAATAATTAAGTTTGTATTTACAATCCACTTTTGTTTTCTGTATGAATTTAGCTGCTCTTTCAGGGCTTAGAACAGGTTTTCAGAGAATGTTAGTGAATAATCAGCCTAACGAACAGCAAGAACACAGTAGATGGTAAGAGAGAGAGTTGTGGAGACGTTTGAAGAAGGGCCAAGTTATAAAACAATTTCCTGCACTTTGAACATCTTTGTTTATTCCATCCATAAACGAAGAGCGTGCCACCAATAAAGAGCTACAGGCATGGTTTGTTCTACACATATGAGCTCGGAAAGGAGATAATTAATCAGAGAAGGAGGTGAAAGCATGTGGTAATCTAAGCATAAACATGTGTACGGGATTGTTCAGGTCAAAGGAGAATTATGTTGGTATAAAATGAACAATGGACGTGAACTCAAACACACCACCTCCACGCTAAAGGGTTTGGTGGTGTCATCATGGTGTGGGATAGGTAGCTCCTAACCAAAGCTCCCCAAAAGTAATGCGTTAATGGATGCAGCCTAGAAGAAAGGCTTTTTGAAAGCTGTCAGTACTTAAAGTTGAGGCAGAGGTTAGCCTACCTGCAGGACAACCAACAAAAACTGCAAAAAATAAAGTAAAAAAGTAATATTGCCTCCACCTGAAGCCCAGACATTTTTGTTTTCATCAAACAAGACCAACTCTGAGGATGATTACACTAACAGTCGACACTGGACACCAATATCCTTCCAGAAGTCTGAATAACTTGAATTCTTTGGATGAATCCGACTCTACAAACTTTTGTTTGTTTACTCGTGTCCAGAGGGAATCTTAATTTTCTCAGACTTTTGCTTTCTGTTGATAATATAATCAAAAGTAAAGACCAGCACAATACCTTTTACCATGAGGGGGGAGGAGGGCAGCCTGCAGATCCAGTCAGTTCTTAGCCGGCAGCCAGCCAGTCATAACAACATCAAACAGCCACCCTAGCCTCCAGTGCTTAAATGGAGCCAAGACCCTGGACCAGAAATATGATTGCTGCATCTTTTTAAGATAAGAATGCAGACAAGCTTAAAAGTTATTGCGAACAACACATGGAGGTATGAGACAACCATAAAAGTGGAGGCTGAATCCAGGGGAACAAAACTGGAAGAAAGTGGTGCTTAAGGTCAACAAAGGAATCTTCATATCTTGCCTTAAAATCAAAATGAATAATCATCTTGTTTTGCAGGAAATGGGGGGGAGCAAAGGCCTCAGCACAACACACAGGTGCACTTTTAAAGAGAGCACATTATGATCTTGTCTACTCTGAGTAGTTTTCTTCCAGCCAGTTCAATGAGAGGACATCAGAGGGAGGATAGAACACTGCCACCTTCTGGTCAGTTTTGGTACATACATCACACTTTAATTAAAGGATGTGTCCTGGAGCTTATTAAAAAAGCCTCAAATCATGTATTTCTATTAACTAGTAATTTTATTGTTAAAATTTGGAATAATGCAATTTGTATGAATGTTAACAGAAAAATGTGAAAAACAAATTCAACTCAGTCCTAGCCATAAACATCCAGTTACGATATTAATAGTTATTTATCACCTGTGCATTTAGCCCATCCCATTGGGGAGCAGTGTGGGGTTAAGGGTCTTGCTCAGGGACCCATAGTGCAGGCAGTGGGGATCAGATCGGGTTCTTGCAACCTTCTCAGAGGACAAGCGCACTGCTCTAACCACTAGGCCAACACTCCCCACTTATGACTATGGCTCAATGGATAAGCCCCAAACTAAAACCCTGTATTTCATTTCACATTATATTTGGATCTTCAGCAAAAACTAAAATAAAACAAAATCAAAAGCATGATTTCCAGAGTAAAACATCTTTAATTGTGTGTACAAGTGTCCATTGAAGTAAAACACATAGATCAGCAGGCTCTGTGAGTCATATTTGACACTGTTTAACGTTTTTATGGGTTTGTTAGATCAGAACACATGCAAACACTTTGATTAACAAAATCAAGTAAATGGAGATTTGAAAAGGTATACGGTTAAGAAATATGCTCCCACAAAAATAAAGCTCTACATTATAATGAGGTTGCAATCTACAGTGACACACAAAAGGGGAAATCAGTTAACTTTTCTTCACATAAGCAAGCTTTTGGAAAAAAGAAAAAAATGTTTTTTAATTTCATCATCTGGTCCATTTCCTCCCTCTATATTTCTTCTGTAAATCCCTGGCGCTGACTCAGACAATTATTGCGTTTTCCAGCTTTCCTTGGAGATGTGTGCAATTGTATGAATTATAACCGTCTCAAAGCTTCACCAGCTGAGTTATAAGCAGGAGGGGAATTATGCATAAAGCTCATGACTTTATGCAGTTGTACGGTCTGTTTAGCAATACCATTTCTTTTTAAAGTGTTTTTTTTTTGGGTGGGATAATAAACAGAAAAGTTTAGTGAAGGATAAAAACTTAAAAGAGCAAATTTTCCGCTGCGTCGTAACCAATATCAGCCAAAGTGTAAATGTTGTGTAGAAGCTGCATCTAGTTCTGACACACTTGGTGCGAATGGTTACCTTCATAAAAAATATTTAGGGTCAATGAACACACATCAAGCTTGGCAGAAGTGGGATTCGAATCTGCGCCTCTCAAGGAGACTGCAACTCGATTGTATAGGGAGCAGGATTTATTTTATCTTATAAGATAAGATAAAAAGTTATACAATAACTTACAGAAGATATACTAATTATCTACATGCTTTTAAGTTATACCAATAACAGGTTACTGTACTGGCTTCACTGCCATGGGTTTTTTGTTAATGTTTTTTAATAAATTATAAAATCATCACAAATGTCTTATAAAAATATATGATTTCAATAGTTAACTGTTTTTTAGCCATTAAACCTATTTTACATAGTGGATTTCCCTTTATGGCCTGTGCTGCAACCTTTCTAGACATTGCAAAAATGTATCTTTATGGAAGTTTAAGCATTAACCATGCAGTTATTTGACAAAACTCTTTCTTGCGTATTACTTTGAGATATTCTAGATAAAGTGGGATCATCAAGTCTACGTGATGATCATTCATTAGCGGTTCTAGACAGGAACCAGTGCTTCTGCAGAACTTGTCCTGGCAACGTTTATGGCCCTTTCTTGCTCCCCTGGACCAATTAAATTTTTCATATTTACAGTTTTATTCTGTAGATGATTTCAGATGCTTTTAATTTCAATCATACTGAGATAGGGTCACAGTTTAAATCTGCTAAATCTGCTTTGATACGTTGCTTCTATGAATGTCAAACAATAAACTTTTTCTTTCTTATTTTTTATTTTTTTGTTTCACTCTTTTTTTCTGTTCCCCCTTGAAAAAAAAACACTTAACAAAAGGCAAACTTGTTTCAGAAGTATATATACGTGACACAAAAATAGCTATAGGAAAAAAAAAGGCACCCAAGCTAAATGAAGGCTATTGTCAGAAGTGGGATTCGAACACGCGCCTCTTGGGTCGACTGCTCGCCCTCCTGACGCGTTAGATTCGTGATACGTTCAAAATTTTTCGTTCTGTCGGATTTTTCAGTTTTATTTCCGTTTTAATGTACTGCTCTGTCTGTCACAAACAATAAGCACAAACAAATGTTTTTTACAATTGAAAACAAAATTGATTTAAAGGTAAGTAGCACGCATTTATTAATGGTTATCATAAAAGAGCTGGGCAGTAGGGTACGGGGTATTCAAAGAGCAGTAACTGAAGGCAGCTCAAAACATGATGCGAACATTTAGTATTTTCTAAATTCCGACTCTCACACAGCGACTAAAAACAGGATAGAAGTGTTAAAAGTGCTTCGCATGGCTTGGCTGACGCTGGCAGGCCGTTTTAACAGAAAATATCTCTAAAACTCTACGTGATTAATTTGTTAAAACAACTACAGTACATTTTATTAATAATAATAATAATAATAATAATAATAATAATAATAATAATAATAATAATAATAATAATAAAAGTGGATCAGCCTGCATTTGGTCAAACCACAGTGTAAAAGTGCTAAAAGTTTTATTGTTACTAATCACTTTCAAGATCTCTGCAATTACTTTTGTACTAGTCTAATTTCCAAATATCTAAATGGCATTTTAAATGTCAAATATCTTAATAAATAACATTGACTAGAAAGCAAAAAATTAGTAAAGAAGCAACTCGAAAATACAGGTGAATGTGCTAGATGTAACCACAAGGTGGCGGTGTTTCATAATTTGGGCTGCATAGTTCATAAAATGAGCTCTCGAATGGAGCCATCAGATGCCATTCATCCTACACTCACTATAGTCACAATTATATCAAACTGGTATTTTTGATCAATAAATATATCTTAGTTGATTAGGATCATTCATAAATCAATTTAGGGCATTTGAATTGTGACATATAGTAGATTTGTTGTCAAGAAGGAATGCAAAACTGCTAAACCTCATTGCGTACCAACAATTATTGTAAGTTATTCTTAAGTCAAAGCTGTAATTTGGTAGTACTGTGGCAACTAATGTTTGTTCTCCACTAAAAAAAAAAATAACTGAAGAAAAGGGAATTCCAATTCAGGCCCCAGCGAGGATCGAACTCGCGACCCCTGGTTTACAAGACCAGTGCTCTAACCACTGAGCTATGGAGCCGAACACGCACAAACAGCGACCAACCGTAGAAATTGAATCTTGAAAGAGACGTGTTATATAATGCCGACGGTCGTTGAACAAGTACGGAAATATTGATCGGGATCACTTCGAGTTGACTGATTGCCAGTGAAATGGCGTTGTTGGATGTTTTTTTCACCACTTGCGCTAAAGCTCTGACCTGGCTGTGCGTTTTTCTTTTTATTATATTTGTCGGTTACTGCTTTTATATCAAGTATATTCATCTGAAATATGACCACATTCCAGGGCCACCGAGAGACAGGTAAACCTGATTCGTAAAAATGTTCAGCTTAGAGAGTTAAAATAACAGCATAAATGGCCTCTGTCATTTGTCTTTTTTCCTCAAAGTTTCTTCTTGGGACACTCTCCGACATTCCTCAGGGTTATGAAAAATGACGGACTTATCTACGACAAATTCCTGGAGTGGTAAGATTAACTAAACCTGTGATACTATTTGTGGATAATTAAAAGTAAAATGAAGAATACCCCGCTGAGTTTTATCCGTCTGCATGCTTGTTTCGATATCCTACCTTCACATTTCTACACTTTGAGCACTGTTTTCCTGGTTTTATTCCAAGAGTTGTATTTCTTCTATTAAAACTTACATTATATTCTGTGGTTTATAGGTCCGAGACTTATGGGCCTGTTTACAGAATTAATGTCCTACATTACGTTATAATGGGTGTGACCTGTCCAGAAGCTACTAAGGTAAACATTACCAAAACTGCACATGTAGCCTACTACTTTGGTATCTGACCATGTGTGGGTTGGAAATCATATGTTTAATCTTTACTGATCTCTATTTTCAGGAAATATTGATGTCACCTAACTATCCAAAGGATCTAATGCTCTACAAACGACTTTTTAACCTGTTTGGTCAAAGGTAGTTTATCACTTGATTCGTCTCTCTTTTAAACGAAAGAAAGTAAATTGTTGTCAAATTGGTTTAACTTGATGATTAAAAATCTTGTTTATTTTAATGCATGTATTTATGTGGGAAATCAATGGGATCTTTAGTGCACATTACTACTGCTATCAAAGTAGTGCCAAAATGTAAAGTGAAAGGTATAGGTTTTATGGTTTTAAAGGAAAAATTACAATATTTTATCGACTGCGCATGTACAACGTTTAACGAGAGTCAATGGCCAAAGATTTTTGCGCCCAAAGGAGGAAATATGTCAACAATCCGAAGACGAATGAAACAGCTTTACTTGTCAATAAAAATTAAATAATTATTGCACATCCAAAAATATATAAATATATTTTGAAATACTGTGATTTTCAGGGCCGTGCAGAGACCACTAAAGGGGCAGGTGCTCAAAAAAAAAAAAAAAAGGGCACATCTTATCGCATTTTAGGACAGAATATTAACAAAGTCACATAGCTTTCAGAGTTTAATGAACAATGATAAATGACAAAATTGTGAGACATACAATCAAAGCTAAGGGAAACACAAGAACAACAGCCTAATGTCTGTATGATAAAAATACTGAATCGATAGATAAGAACAGCTTTTCCTCACCTGGCTGTCTCCTCCCGCTCAGTAGTTCTTCAGAGAAAGGCGCGCCGCGTCCTATACTTTCCTCCGTTTAAACCGCTACTCTTTGCTAAAGTAGAGAAATTATACAACGTTCAAAGTTTTCCGTTGTCTGACAAGTAGCAAGCCTACTCCAGTATTTTCACAAAAAATTATGTTTTTTAATTCACAAAAAAAACTGTTCTGTTTTCATTACAGAACAGTTTTTTGTGAATTAAAAAACATAATTTTCAATGTAAAAGACTAAAAGCACTGAGTAAACAGTGTTTTAGATCAAACAATACTGCATCATCCATGGGGCTCATTTGGTTTCACTTACATCTCTATTCAGGTTGACATTGGAGAGGCGGTGCAGACTGAAGACATAGCCATCCGTCCGATCATGGTTGATCTTGCTTAGGGCCAAATGAGCAGCGGCCACAGTGTAATGTGGAATGTTCGCTACCTTTAGCTCCGCAGTTAGCCGCCTTATCTGACTGTGCGGCACCGGCAAAAGGTCAAAGGTAACAATGTGACCGGAGGGCTTATTGTATTGTTTTTCTTGCCAAAAAGAAAAAAGATAATAATAATAATAGTTTCAGTACATGTGTCAAATAAAAAAAATTAAGATAAAGCAAAAAAAAAGAAAAAAAAAAAAAAAGACCAAAAGGGCACATTGGGATCATGGAGCAAAAGGGGCAGGTGCTCAAGCCCCCTTAGCCCCCCCCTCTGCACGTGCCTGGTGATTTTATAATTTCACTTTTATTTTTTTAATGTCTAAATCAAGGTCATTGGGTATGTGGGGCTGTGCCCTAGCGCCCTCTATTGGCCAGCCGCCACTGCTCTTAAGTTTGATTTAGCTGTAAACTTTGATTTCCATCTGAAAAACTCACACAAAGAAGAAAGACAATTTGGAGAAATTTATTGATACAATTACATTGTCTTTGGTGCTCAGACCTTGGCAGGACACATAGAACTTAATTTTGATATGAATGAACAGGAGTAAAGAATAGAGCTGTTTTCCCCCCAGGTCTGAAACTGGAGGTAGAGTGGAGATAAATGAAGTTGGTCAGTCTGTGTTGAATGTCAGTTTAACTCTCCCCTGCCTCCTTCTAAGGTTTTTAGGCAATGGTCTGGTCACTGCAAGAGATCATGAGGTGTGGTACAAACAGCGGCGGATTATGGACCCTGCTTTCAGCAGCTTGTAAGTTAGTCTGTCTCTCTTTGTCATTCAGAAATGACTTGAACAGTATGACAAATCTCTCCAGTTTTAGCGTGTAGCCCTGACTAGTTAAAGAACTATGAGGCTCTTCTGGTTTCTTCTGGGTGTGACATTTCATCCTCCAAAATCTTTTTTTTTTTCCCCATTAGGTATTTGAGAGGTCTAATGGGGACCTTCAATGAGAGAGCAGAGAAACTGATGGACAAGCTCTCTGAGCTGGCTGATAACAACACGGAAGCGAACATGCTTCAGCTTGTCAACGGTGTCACACTTGATGTCATTGCTAAGGTGTCGTCTATTATTTCCCCTCCTTCAACTTGAAAAGTTCTAATTATAATAGTCTTTGTAAATCTGTCTTATTTCAATAATTCTAGGTTGCATTTGGTGTGGATTTAGATCTCTTGTCCAACAAATCACCTTTCCCAAAAGCCATTGAAGCTTGTCTAAAAGGGATGGTATATCATGTCAGAGACTCTTCATTTCGGGTAACTTTTTCGAATTGTTTCAAATTAACCTTTTGCAAACCAAGGCCTTCCTAACATCCATGTGAAACTAACTCTGCTGTTCCAGTTCAATCCAAAGAACTGGCCGTTCATCAACGAGGTGAGGGAAGCCTGTCGCCTGCTGCGAACAACTGGAGCTCTGTGGATCCATGACAGAAAGGCAGCCATGCAAAACGGAGAAGATGTCCCAAAGGACATCCTCACGCAGATCATTAAAACTTCTTCCACAGGTTGTGATCCCCTCGATTAAGGATGAGACGTTAACTCCTTCTGCCTCTCCTCCATCCTGTCCCTTGCATCATTTTCTCATTAGTGATCTTGAAACAATACATCATCTTTTACACCTTCCTCATCCCTCCTGCACCTATCAATCTTTCAAAGCCTTCCTCGGATGTATGTGTCCGTCAGTTTTTCCTATCTGCGTTAAACACCTATTTATGAAAGATTTTGCTTTTATCTTTTCCTTAAATCTATGAAGTTCTTAAAAGCGTATTTTGACATCTGATTATTCTGGGTATTTTTCGTTATTATAGAGGAAATCATGACTGCAGAGGATGAAGAACTCATGTTGGACAACTTTGTGACATTCTTCATTGCAGGTAATTTTATTTGGGAGGGTTTTTTTTTTTGGATGAAGTGGAAAATATAAATTAAAAAAATGTGATGGAAAATGAGAGCTTTTGACTTGTGTTGTCTTCCCTTACAATCACTTAAGGTCAAGAAACAACAGCCAATCAGCTGGCGTTTTGCATCATGGAACTTGCAAGACATCCTGAAATATTGGCTAAGTAAGGATGAATAATTAGTCGGGTTATAAAGGTTTGTAATGTACTGGCTGAACTGTAGTTTTTATGCAATTTTTTATGTTTTTCAGAGTGACAAATGAAGTGGATGATGTCATTGGGATGAAACAGGAAATAAGCTATGATGACCTCGGGAAGCTAATTTACCTCTCCCAGGTAGTTTAGGCTTTTCCTTTATGGATATTTCTCTTTTTATTGTTCAAAGGACTGTCACTTTCTTTTAGCCATGTCTATCTGAACATCTGCTCTGTGTTTTAATTAAACAATATTCAATATTGAAGCGTCAAATTAATCTCATCCCACAGGTGCTGAAAGAGACACTGAGAATCTACCCGACTGCTCCTGGCACATCTCGGGACGTTCATGGAGACATGGAGATCGACGGCATCCACCTGCCTGGAGGATTTACCTGCATGGTGAGTCTCTGCCTCACAATATGTCTGATGCTGTTAAAACTGCAAGCACCTGTCTGATATATTAGGATATGAAATACATCTGGGCATATAATTTAACCCAATTTGTGTTTACCAACCCATTATGGATACCCTTTCTACCACAGTGTGACTACTTATTCAGTTTAGCTCTTATGCAACTTTTTTCTCTTAACATTGACATATTACTCTAATTTTCAGTTTAGCAGCTTTGCTACTGGAAGGATGGAAAAGTTCTTTAAGGATCCTCTGAAATTTGATCCAGACAGATTTCACCCAGATGCACCCAGGTAAGTAAAGCGCAATCAAAACATAAAACTTGTGGCTTTGCACATCCTCAGTGAATGAGAAAGAAAATGAAAATATGAAATTTCTTTTCTCTTCTTCTGTTTAACAAGGCCCTACTACTGCTACTATCCCTTTAGCCTCGGTCCGCGGTCCTGCCTGGGAAAGAACTTTGCTCAGGTGGGTGGACCGTAGAAGAAAATTCAGTTTTTTTTTTTACAGCTTTTTTCAAAGTTTTTGCTTCATGTGTTTTTTAAAAACTGCTTGATAGATAAAAAAAACAAAACATTTTTGGTCTCTAAATGTAAACAGAAAACCACAGAACAAACTTAAACATTCCTTATGTGTTTTCAGATGGAAGCCAAAGTGGTGATGGCAAAGCTTCTGCACAGGTTTGATTTCAGCCTCGTCCCTGGACAGACCTTTGACATCGAGGACACTGGCACCCTGAGGCCCAAGAGTGGAGTGATCTGCAACGTCAGACACAGGAAATACAAAAACTAAGCATTGTTAATGCTTCCTGATATAGGATGAAATGAAAATTTTACTAAAATATTCATAGGCTGGTTCTCCTGCATCAGACGATGGAAGCTAGCTTTATTGTTGAATTGATTTCATATCTATGTCTTTATTTACTCTTGCAAATCATTTAGGCCTTATAATCCTTTTTTTAATAACCCTGAACCTTTTGTGCCTTATCAGTGTATTTCTGTGAAACTAAACCCTTAAGGTAAACTAACCTAATGTCATACTGTGATGCTTTAAACGCTGCCCGACTTTTTTTTTTTTTTTTTATGTTTTCTGCTGATTTATTATTGCCCCAAGCAGGAGTAACCAAGTCCAGTCGTCGACAGCTACCAACCTGCAAGACTCGAGACAACTGGACTTGGGAACTCATGGTCTAGAAACATCTGTACATGTGAAGGGGCCGTAATTTTGTTAGAATAATATTTTATATGATTTTGGGAGGAACATTTATTTCATTTTAAAAGCGAGCTCATGCCAAAAACCATTTTAAAACATAAAATAGTACAATAGTAAATGCATACTTATCTGTGAGTGCAGCAGTTAATTGTTACTGAAAATGTAAACATGTATTTATGCAAAATGATTGTATAAATATGTATGTATAAATATGTATGTATAAATGAGCATAGAAGCATTAAAGCAGATAAACCTGCCTGAATTTGTAACTTTTTTAATTATGTAATTTGTGATATTTTTATATTAAGTCATAGATATCACACTTTGTGCATAACTTGTATATTTTACCTCCTGTTCTATCATTTTTAAACCAAAAGTCATTTATGATCATTTACTCCGAACGTATGTAGCCTCTTCATCAACTTTATTTACTTCTTGGAAATGTACTTATAAGTTGAGGTAGGTTACTTCCTGTTTCCAACTGTCCAGCCTGTAGTCCAGACAGGAACCTTTTTTTATGTATTAGTATTTAATAGTTTTCAATTGAAATCATTACTACCAAATATATTTGGAAAAATTCCTAAAGTTTCCTTGCAATGATGCTGGTATGTCAATACAGTGTGGCCCAGGGAGGAGTAATGGGTAAGACATCTGCAGACTGTTACACTATGAATATCTCTCCTCAATATTTAAAAAGCAGACCAAACCTAACCTGTGGCTAACTACTCTGTTACTTCACATTAAACCAAACAGTTTATAATCAAACTATAATCTAACCACTTCTCTTTAACTGATCGTGTGTGAAACATTGGCACCCTTTTATTGTCTTTATCTTTATTTATGAAAACTTTAACTTAGGCAGCATGATCAAGCTCAGCTAAAGTGGGAACAAACCATTTCACACAAATAAAGGGGGTTCTTGGCAAATATGGATGTTTACTTGTTGGTCTGGAACTGGGAACATTCAACTCCCCAAAAAAGATTGCATAAAATCTGCTCTTACAATGAAATACACAATCATGCTGTATTATATTTGATATCTTCTTATTCACTTTGAACTATATTTTGTGCCCATTTGTAGTCAGGTGACCATAGAATTGTCCAAACCATCCCCTTCTCAGTGTCCCTCTGATTGGAGGAGTGGCTTAGATCCTCAGCTGTCTTAGACTGAGTTCACTAAAGTGAATCTGACAGGAGAAGATGATCAGAGTTAGTCACTTACCTGGTTTAACAGATCAGTCCTTCCTCAATGATAGGCAGGATCAGCCAATGCACTGCCAATGAGATGTGGCCCTCAGTCTCCCAGCGTGTCCCCCATGCTGCAGCCCCAGAGAACACGCAAGAAGCTGATCCAGGTCAAGGGAGAACAGATCAGGAAAAAAACAGTTCAGGGATCCAGGAGTTCTCTACTCAATCAGAGGTTCCGACCGAAACAGGCACAGAGGGATCAAGGCTTCCAGGAATCCTCAGAGCATGAAAGCAGGTTCAGAGTATTATGCCTCGAGCAACCAGCTCAGACAGAAACAGACAGGCAGAATCCAGCAGCAGTCCAAAGGAGATTCAGGCGAACAGATAAGACAGGTACAGACGGGGCTAATGGGTGAGAGGGAACAGAATCAGGAAACTAGAATCACTAGAAAACGCTGAAACGCTCTCACCACTGGTTAGGGAATCAACCAGCGTTAAGACACTGTGCTCCAGAATAATCTCCTCACTGAAACGGGGACATGAACCTTGGACTAACTAAATGTATGAAAACAGAACCTAAAGACATCTAACAGGGAATAAACAAACCGCAAAAAACAATGATCTGGCCCCGATAGCTGGAACTCAGCCAAATATAAAGGAAGAGATGCAGTTGGGTGAGATCATTGATAATCAGAGACCAGGCAGAGTTAGGCAGATGAGTGAAATGAACAATTAAGGCCAGCTATCAGGGCAGATCATGACACTAACCTGTGTTTCTCTCCTGCAGAGGTTAGTGCCCTAGACCCCAAGCCACTGCAAATCTGCCTTTTTTAAGTAATCCCACTACCTGTCTTGCCTTGAATACTGGGTCCTCTGTTTTAAACCTTGACAATAAGATGCTTTAATGCTGTGTATTCACACAGAATACTGTGTGCAACAGTGTTTTTGTCATTTATATGGTTGTTAGCCATGGGGCCCATGGAGAAAACACTGACCTACAATTTGAAGACCTAAGTGCATTTAACTTAGTGATTGTATCACTCCACTTTTATCAAATTTCAGTTGCAAGGATAATAATGCAGGGGCTGAGGGTAAACGTTGAGAATGCCTTTAACCACTGTATTTGACAGCACCACCCCATATGTTTGATGAGCTGCACAACAGGATTGGCTGTCTTTCAGGGGAGAATACATAAAAATGTCAACGAAATGTCTAGAAAACTGTTATGATATTTGAGAATTAACTGTGATTTTGTGGGATACTGGAGCTCTGCATCAAATTAAATTGAATCTCAGTGGAATAAAATATGAAAAAAATGTAGAACCTTGTCAAAAATCAACTAAGAATCCTAAAACTCAATACCTCTGATAATTCCAACTCTTGTGCTATGTGTGGAATAAGCAATAGCTGTAAACCTAAAATAATCTTAACTGAAACAAGTAATGGCATAAGAAAATCCCAATAAAGGGTAAAAAACACTATTTAGGGTGCAAATTTTCAATACAATTAGTTTCCATGGAGTTACTGAAATTAAGGAAATAAATACATAATAAGAATATTTAGAGTTAGATTTAACTGAAGACATTTTTAAAAACGTTATCACCACCTTTTTTGTTTAACCATCTATATTGAGTTCAGGATCATTTTAATGTGATGCTTTTTATTCAGCTTTGCTAAACTCATGCCTTTGTAGGTCAAGAAACAACAGCAATCAACTGGCTTTTTGCATCATGGAACTTTGAAGACATCCTGAAATCCTGGAGAAGTAAGAACTAAATTAAAGTTTACCATTCCTTGTGGTATAGTTGGTAAACCATATGTTTTATGTTGTGTTTAAACGAATAGAGCAAACAAAGAAGTGGATGATGTCATTGAGATGAAACAAGAATTAGGCAGTGATGACCTAGGGCAGATGATCTATCTCACACAGGTCGTTTTTAAAAGCTGTTCCTTTCTTCACTTTCTTGTGTCTTTAAATACCGGTAAGTTCATTTCGAATTTCTGTGTTAGCAGCATAAATAATAATTTAACATATAATAATCTGCTTATAATATAATAAATGTGCTTTCATGGAATGTAATCATGGATCATTGTCAAACTAAAGACACTAAAATCACCACTTAAGTTACTCTATTGGTGGTTAGTTTCAATGAATGGCTTGGAAACACATGATTGGACACAAAACAACTGTTTATGGTGCCTTTTAAGAGTCTTCCAACCACTTGAACCTTATCTCACAAACAACCACAAACTCAAATGTCTTTAATTCGGATTTACTTTGATTGGCCAATGCACATTTTTTTCAAAAAGATCAAAAGTAAACCGTGACTTTTCATGTGCAGTTTAATGTTTTAAATTATGATGTTATTTTCTGGAGTTTCCTAATGTATTTTATGGCAGTGTAACTCAGTGTATGTATGAATATGTTTGAATATGAAGAATGTCCTAAAAATCATTAAAAAGTTCAGTCTCTTCATTCTAACAGAAAAGAAATGTAAGTAGTTTGGCTAATCCTTGAAAAGGCAACTAATAGTCTAGTGGTTTCATTCCTGATGATGATGAAATTCAGGAAATATCTAGTTTCAACACTGGATGGATGTATCTTTTTTGCTATATTTGAGGTGTTATTTTGACTTTCCGAATCAGATGTTCTGAAAGTCATAATATCTGATAATCAGAAGTATAGGGTACACCAAGGCCTCCTCTAGTATAGTTACTATACTACTGGGACGATGGAGAAGTTCTTCAAGGATCCTCTGAGATTTGATCCAGACAGATTTCAACTAGATGCTCCAAAGTAAGTAAAATTGCTAACACACCTCAAATGCAACATGAACTTTGATCAGACTTTTTTTGTGTGGAGGGAGGGACCTAGATTTGATCTTTTTCACTCTCTGTGAACAGCTTTCAGTTCTCCCGGGCTGAGTTCACTAAAATGGCATTTTTCCACCTAGTTTTTGGTTTGCTCTGCAAAGCCTTTCTTGTCCTGTTCTCTCTCCTCTTCATTGTCTTTCTGGGTTACTGCTTGTACATTAAGTACATTCATATGAAATATGACCACATACCAGGGCCACCAAGGGACAGGTAAGCCAAGCAAGTCAAGTTGTGTTTGTCGCTGTTCTTTGCAAATATTTTTTTTTCCATTTTCTTTCTCACACAGCTTCTTTTTTGGCCATTCACCAACACTTCTGAAGATAATGAAAAAAGATGGCTTAGTGCATGACAAATTCCTAGAATGGTAAGAACAGTGAATCTACAGGAAAAAATGTTTTGCTCTCAGGACTTTAGTAAATTTGTGCGTCACTTAAAATCTCCATTTTGTTTGATTAACTAATAGTTTAATATACAATACATCCAATATACTTGTATTCTAGATTTATTATTCCTAGTGTGAAATAATTATAAACATGTTATTTTCAGGACTGAGACTTACGGACATGTTTGTAGGATAAACGTTCTGCACCACGTCAGTATATGGATCACGTGTCCAGAAGCAACAAAGGTAAATATATCTAAGAGCTGCAAGAGAAACAGTGTGAGAGGGAACGCACCTTTAATTTGTGTCTGCAGACGAAGACCCTGCTATTATAACACATTAAGTGTTTAAATCTTAATTTTATATTTAATTGGTTCTTGTTTCAGGAAATCTTAATGTCCCCAAAGTACACCAAGGCTAAAAAAGTCTACAAAAAACTCTTTAATCTGTTTGGTCAAAGGTAGTGTCTGGATTGTTCTTACCTCTTTATTTAACATAAACAGCCTAGTTTTTAAGGAAGTATTGTTGTAATACTAATCTCTCAACTTTCACAGGTTCTTTGGCAATGGCTTGATAACAGCTCGGGATCATGAGATGTGGTACAAACAGCGCCGGATAATGGACCCTGCCTTAAGTAGCTTGTGAGTCATGAGGTTTGAATAATTGCTGGCAGAACTGATCCAAGGTATAAGATAACTAAGCTTTTATCCTCCAACAAAAAGATAGTACTTAGGAGATCTATTAGATCTTAGTACAGGCAT